ATATATATTTATATATATATTATATATATACATACACTGTGTGTATGTATATATGCATGCATGTATCTCTTTTACTTGCCTTCCCCCTATATATTTATTTATTTATTTATATAGATAGATAGATACACACACACACACACACACACACACACACACACACACACACACACACACACACACACACACACACACATATACATATACATATATATACATATATATGCATATATATACATATATGTATAGACACACAATGTATGTGTGTATATATATATAGATAGGTACATATATACATATATGTATACATACAGACACACAGTGTATATAGATGTATATGTATACATCCGTATATTTAGACGTATATATACACATATATGCATATATATACATATATTTGTATGTATATACACATATGTACACATATACACACACATTTATTTACACACACACACATACATATATATATATATATATATATATATATATATATATATATATATATATATATATATATGTAACGAGAGGCGAAATGTTGGCTGCAGTTTGGAGTATCATTGTTCGGAGCCTCATCGCCTTGAGGTATTGATCGGCTTTTGTCTATATCTTTTCATCGGCCAGAGAGAAACGGCTGATGTCGTTTTTGTTTTTCCCCGTTTCCTTCCGAGAAATGGAAAGCCTGAACAAGATGATGTTCGCACACAATTATATATCTATATTTGGCTATATTTAAAAAAAAAGAAGAAGAGAGAAGGTGAAGATATTGATATTTAAAGATAAGAAAATTGATAAAGGTTGCGTTTGGCTTTGGCAGCAGCCAAGATCCGGGATGATGATAGCATCGTTAATGAAAATGATATCGGAGAGAGAGAGGGGGAGGGAGAGAGAGAGAGAGAGATTAAATAATGAAAGAAAAAGAGAGAGAGACATAGAGAATGAGAGAGAGAGAGAGAGAGAGATTGAAGAAAAGAAAGAAAGAAAGGCAGAGAGAGAGAAGAGCGAGAATAAACGAGAGAAGGATCAAAGACACAGAAACGAACAGATTAGAAACAGGCAGAGAGAGAGAAAAAAAGAGAGAGAGCACAAAAAAAAAAAAAAAAAAAAAAAAACAAGAACCAATTAGCAGACTACACAACACGCACCTTTTCTCCCTGCTTACATGAATACCAAGCCATCGCGGGGAAAGGAAAATCGGCCGAGGGACAGAGCCGAAAGGATGTCAGTCTCCGCCACCCCTTTCTCATTACAAGACCTCGGGATGTTTTTAGTAAGCGGGAAGAGAACAGATGCGCTACCATGGGCCTTTGGAGTGGGATTAATTGTTTATAGTTGGGAGGGCTGGCGAGGCGGGGGAGTGTGGGGGAGGGGGAGAGGAGGGGAAAGGAGGGAGGGAATGGAGGAGGAAGGGGAGGCGGGAGGATGAGGAAAAGGAGGGAGGAAGAGGAGGCAGCCTAACCCCTCTCTCTCTCTCTCCTTCTCCTCTCTCTCTCTCTCTCTCTCTCTCTCTCTCTCTCTCTCTCTCTCTCTCTCTCTCTCTCTCTCTCCCTCTCTCCCTCTCTCTCTCCCTCTCTCCCTCTCTCTCTCCCTCTCTCCCTCTCTCCCTCTCTCCCTCTCTCCCTCTCTCTCTCTCTCTCTCTCTCCTCTCTCTCTCTCTCTCTCTCCTCTCCTCTCTCTCTCTCTCTCTCTCTCCCCCCCTCTCTCCCTCTCTCCCTCCCTCTCCCTCCCTCTCCCTCCCCCTCCCTCCCTCCCTCCCTCTCTCTCTCTCCCTCCCTCCCTCCCTCTCCTCCTTTCTCTCTCTCTCTTTCTCTTTCTTTTTCTCTTTCTCTTTTTTTCTCTCTCTCCCTCTCTTTCTACCTCCCTCCCTCCCTCTTTTTGTCGCCCCTTCTTACCCTCTTTCTCTGTTTATCTATCTACTCGTCTATCTATTTACGTATATGTCACCCACTTTCTCTTTGTGTGTGTGTATGTAATGAGGAACAGTGAGTCTTCTTAGAGAATAAGGCCTGGTACTATATTAAGCACCTGATCAAGGATAAAACGACTACAAGACGAAAAGCGGGAAAAGAAAAAAAAAATAGAGAGACAGAGAAAAATACATTGTGGTATTGGGTTTCCCACCAAAAACTGGTCGCAGCAGTACACACACGCGCGCGCGCAAACTCTCTCACACACACACACATACATACATGGTATGTATTTGTGTACGTGTATGTGTATTATATTTATATGTATGTGTATATATATGTGTGTGTGTGTATATAATATATATATATATATATACAATATATATATATATATATATATATATATATATATATATATATATATATATATATATACACACAATATATATATATATATATATATATATATATATATATATATATATATATATATATATATATATATATATATATATATATACACACACAATATATATATATATATATATATATATATATATATATATATATATATATATATATATATATATATATATATATATACACACAATATATATATATATATATATATATATATATATATATATATATATATATACACACACAATATATATATATATATATATATATATATATATATATATATATATATATATATATATAATATGTGTATATGTGTGTATATGTGTGTATATGTGTGTGTGTGTGTGTGTGTGTGTGTGTGTGTGTGTGTGTGTGTGTGTGTGTGTGTGTGTGTGTGTGTGTGTGTGTGTGTGTGTGTGTGTGCGCGCGCAAGTGCGTGCGTGTGAGCATGTGTGTGTGTGTGTGTGCGTGTGCGTGTGCGTGTGCGTGTGCGTGTGCGCATGTTTATGTGTAAAGCATCAATTCACTCTTTGGCAATTATTCTACCAGTGTACACACACCATCCACTCCCCACCCCCCTCCAACCTTTTCCTACTCTTCCGTGCCCTCTCACGAGCCGGCTGCAAGTTGGGTATTTCCCTCAATAGTTCCCTCAAAAAATCTACCTTTCACTTAGTAACAGATTTTTTTTTTTTTTTACGTTCCTGTATAAATAGTTTTTTTTCATGGATTTTGGGAGTTTTCTTATTCACTTCAGAAATAATTTATTTGTGTGTGGTTATATTTTCCACATACAAACCAACATACCCTGATTTCGATGCCTTCTTTAACCCCTTTTTAACGAGATATCGCTCTACGCCGCTCGGAAACTCAACCAGAATAAAAGTAGCATAGAAAACTATAAACAGTACCTTTATTCCACCTTATACTTTTTGTTTATATTTTTTCTCTCTCATTCACCTGTTTACGTGACCCTAAGAAACTAGTAGCATCGGTGAAACAAAAGTCCCCGAAGTATTGGCCTCCGATGCTCTTTTGTTGTTCACCATGTGCTAATAGCTAAAGGATGGGATCGCCTTCACACGGATCGCGCTGGGATTCCCCCCCACGGTACCGACCTTGACTTCATATTCGTTTTTGTTCGTTTGTGGCCGTCGTGGACTGGCTCCTATGATTGCGGAAGAGTGAAGGGGCTCATTTCAACACCGTGTTCTGTTTATTTGTTTATTTAGAGCAAATAGGTTATCCTGGAAATGATTATATTCGTTGTGTTTATTTTGCTGCTGGTAGCTTGATCACGTTGGTGTTGCTTCTGTTGATTTTTTTTTCGGTCTGTCTGTTATCGACTGATTATTTGAAGGTGGAGAAAGTGAATAAGAGGAAGAGGAATAAGATAATGAAAGAGAAAGTGAGTAAGAGGAAGATGAAGATGAAAGAGAAAGTAAGGGGAAGAAGAAAAAAAGAGGGAGAGAAGGAAAAATAGGAGAACGAAAGAAAGAAAAATAAAGAAACAGGGAGCGGGGGAGGGGGGGGATAAAGAGTGAGAGAGAGAGAGCGGGATAAAGAGTGAGAGAGAGGGATAAAGAGAAAGAGAGAGGGTTAAAGAGGGAGGGATAAAGAGAGAGAGACAAAGAGAGAGAGAGGGATAAAGAGAGAGACAAAGAGAGAGAGAGGGATAAAGAGAGAGACAAAGAGAGAGAGAGGGATAAAGGGAGAGAGAGGGATAAAGGGAGAGAGAGGGATAAAGGGAGAGAGAGAGATAAAGGGATAAAGAGAGAGAGAGAGAAAAGAGAGAGAGAGGGGGGGGGGATAAAGAGAGGGATAAGCAAAGAGAGAGAGAAAGAATGGGAGAGAGAAGCAAAGAGAAAGAGAGAGAGAGAGAGAGAGAGAGAGACGGCAGGAGGCCCGCCGCCTCTCTGGCTTCTCCGCCGCCTCGAGAACCCCCTCCCCCCCGCCTGCGTCTCGCCGTCACCGCCTCCGCTGTCACCGACGCGTCTTCCCGCTGCGTCTCCGGTGACGTCATACGTGACTCACGCCGTCTGCTTGGCCTGAATTTGAGGAAAGACATAATTACTGAAGAATGGGGGTGTGAATAGGGCTGAAATGAGCCTCTGCGCGACATTGTCTCCCATTGTGGCATATTGAATGGTGGCCGAGAGACTCCGTTAGTTTAACTGTAAATGAGAGACAGCTTTATGCCGTTTTTCAGCCATAACAAGCGTGATGAGATGTGTGATTCATATCGAATCTTTTTTTTCTGATATTCTGTATTTATGGTAACCTTGCGGTATTAATAATGAAATAACACGGTGACTGTTTCGTAATTTGTGACGTGTGGCGGCAGCACGTGACGTCTGTTTCCGACGCCCGACACCGGATGTCCGCGAGGTAACTTGGGCAACGTGATGTTCCGAAGGGATGCGCGCTGCCGAAGGGCTGGTCGAGGGAAACACTTGGTATTTTATCTTTTGTAAATTTTGGGCACACGTTTCGGCGCTTCAGTCTCTTTTTTTTCTACTTCTTTTTATGCTTCCCTTTCTTGTTGTTACTGCTGTTGTTTCTCATTCTCTCTCTCTCACCCTCCCTCCTTCCCGCCCTTTATGTGTGCGTATTTGTTTGTGCTCGTATTTTTTGTCCTTGTATCTACTGTCACGTAACCCCACCTCCTTTCCGCAGGGTATGTGAAGGAGCTGCGATGGTGCGTCCCGTGAAGCCCGAAGCGGAACCCAGCTGATCCCGGCAAGCGTCCCTATGATGAGCTCATGGATGGTCCTGCCCGCCTTCTTGCTATGGGGGTGGGCGGCGGGCGGGGTCACACTTTCTCTGTCTTGTGGGCGTTGTGAAGGAGGACCTGACGGGTACACGTGCCCCAACTCAGATAGTACCCAGGCGTATGTGCTCAGGGCACTGCCAGATCAGGTTCTCCGCGTGGAGTGTCGCAACAATGGCTGGGACTTTTCGCTGCTGAAGAACTGTAATTTCACCGCATTCAGACAGTTTGAGTTTCAGAGATGCCCGCTGCCCGACGTGTCGTTTGGCGAGGTATTTCGGAGGATAGGAGTGGCAAGCGGTGATGTGAAGTCCCTCAGCTTTACAGCAGGCTCCTGGAATGCTGCCTCGGGTCTGCAAGAATGGCACTTGGACTCCCTAACAAACCTGCAAACGCTGCAGCTGGTTGACAACAACTTCACTTCCTTCCCTCCTGCTCTGCTGACGAATACTCCCAAACTCGAGTTTTTTAGATTTATAGGAAATCGGGTGGGCAATCTCCCGCACACCATGTTTGCAAGCACACCGAATCTCGTCATGGCAGAGCTCGGGAGCAACGAACTCACCAGTGTACCTGAAGACCTCTTCGCCAACCTCACGAAGCTGCTCAATGTTAGTCTCTGGAACAACCAGTTGACTGATATACAGGGAAGCTTATTTTCAGACATCACAGGTCTCAGATTTCTAGACCTGAGAGACAACTTCCTGAGTGACATCACAAACAGGCAATTTCAAGGAATGAAACTGTTAAAAAGACTCAACCTTGGAGGGAATCAAATCAGCAGTTTGAACAAGGATTCGTTTAGGGATCTCAGGAGCTTGGAAGAACTAGAGCTTCATTCGAACTGGCTTGAAAACTTACCCACAGGCATCTTTGATAACCAGAGGCTGATGCAGAAACTGATCCTGAGCAACAACAGTTTGAGTGAATTGCCAGATAGAATATTCCAAAAATGCGAATCATTAAAAATGCTTGATCTGAGTGTTAATAATTTGCAGCACATTGAAAAGTCACAGCTTCCGACTCATAAATCTTCTCTAACATATCTCAATTTGGGAAGCAACAATGTATCATTTCCTGAATATAGAAATGGCTCTGGGAACAGTTTTATCCCATATGACTTCCCTCTCACTAATCAGTTGGAGCTGCAACACATTTTCCTAGACAACAACAGGATCACCGAAATACCCTCATCATTTAACATTTTGTTTGTTGATCTCAAAACCATTGACCTTTCTGGGAATTTGATCCGTTTCTTGGATTATTTCTCCATGCGCTTCCTCTCAGAAGGTGTCAAACTGAACTTGAAAAATAACTTAATAAAGACAATCAGTCTACGTCGCTTGAAAGTTTTTTCACCTAAGGATATAAAGAATGTTACATTGTCACTTGAGGGAAATCCACTTGTATGTAACTGTTTACTTTACATATTTACAAAGATTATTCAGGAAAAGTCAGAATTAACTAGTAAGATCATAATTAATGATGCTGATAAAGTAACATGTACCAACTTAGAAAACAGGACAATGTATGTGAAGACACTCGATTTCAAAAGGCTGTCTTGCAAACTGGAGCAATGTTTGGATAATTGTACTTGCTCATGGCGTTCACATGATGAGATGTTGGTTGTAGACTGTTCTTTCAAAGATATGAAAGAAATTCCCATACCAAGCAAGGACATGTATGACCTCAAAAAGTATTCCGTAACACTAAACCTGATGAACAACAGCATCGCAGATCTTGACGGCCTTAACCATCCCTTTTACACCAGATTGGCAAACCTTACCATTCCCTACAACAAAATCTCCCACTTCAATAAGTCAGACCTTCCAGACAGCTTAAAAGTCTTGGACGTGCGAGGGAATAACCTGACTTTCTTATCAGCCCCTACTCTTGACCACTTCAATGTAACAGCCATGACCCTTAGCCTTGGAGATAATCCCTGGACTTGCAATTGCGACACGATTGACTTCTTCACCTTTCTGCAAGTCCCTGAGAGAAAGGTAATTATCAGAAATGTGCAATTTGCTTCATAAAATTTTATTTTTTATTTCAAGCACAGCCTCTTAGTATATATTTTGTTTCTCTACAGATAGCCATCTTTGCTTCCTATAATGAAAGAAGTGACAATCAAAACAGAACAAATTATCAGAATCACAGAGACTACTCAAATCTATTATATAATGAAATAGAAGACACATTATGACTCTCTCTGTATTTACAAGTAATCTGTCTTTCCAGGTACTGGACTTCAACAACATAAAGTGTGCCGGTGATGGTGAGGAGCTGTTAAGCATCAATGAGTATACCATCTGTCCGTCCTTCAGGCAACCCATGGTTATTGTAACAATCGTGCTCATCACAGTTTTTCTTCTCCTGTTTGCTGTTCTTGGTAAGCATTTTAGTTTTTAATCCCTGAACGATGATTTGGATTAGAAGTGTCACTAATTTGTATATTTGAATATATATAATATTTTTAAATCTTTGCTACAGTAGAAACTGTTTAAACGAGTTACCTTATGCATAATCCTTTGGTCACAGGTACAATGAGTTTCTATAAATACAAGCAAGGCATCAAAGTGTGGTTGTTTACACATCGTATGTGTCTTTGGGCCATAACAGAGGACGAATTAGATGCTGACAAGAAATATGATGCTTTCATCAGCTATTCTCACAAGGTAAATATATTTCAGTTCATCACTGACTGTTGCATGTGTTTACACAGTGTAAAACTACTAATTTATACTTCTTAGTTATATGTCTTTGTTTTCTTGGATTTTATATCACAACCTAGTTTGTGTAATGACTGAACTAAATTATAATAGGCCTACTTAATCTTGAAATCTAGATCAGTTTCCGGCGAGGATAGTTCACAACAATGATATTTACACCTATTTCCAGGACGAAGAATTTGTCAACACAGTCTTGGTGCCAGGACTGGAGACGGGCCACCCCAAGTACCGTATTTGCCTTCACTACCGCGACTGGATCCCAGGAGAATACATCCAGAATCAGATCCTGCAGAGTGTAGAGGACAGCCGTCGAACTATTGTGGTGCTTTCATCGAATTTCATTGAGAGCGTGTGGGGCCAGCTCGAGTTCAAGGCCGCTCACTCACAGGCTCTGCAGGACAGAACTAACAGGATAATAGTCATTGTGTATGGCCAGGTTAGTGGGGTAGTGGTTTGCTTAATGTATTCTTTGTTTCTAAGACATATGGGATAAGAATGCAAGCAGTATTAGAACAATTGAATATAAGATCTTTATCATAAGTATCATAAATTAGCAGTTGTTTGAAAGTTCACCTCTCTATTCTCGACAAAAGAAAGGTTTTAGTTGTGTACTTGATAATGGTATTGTAAGCACAGTAACTAATTTTCAGATACACTCCAAAGTTTAGTATTCAGAGATCAGGTGATAGACCTATAGTTGCTTGTATTGCTCCTATAAAAAAAAAAAAAAAAAAAAAAAAAAAAAAACTTCATTTTACAGGTCCCTCCCGAGAGCGAACTGGACGAGAAGTTACGCCTGTACATCTCTATGAAGACTTACGTCAAGTGGGGAGATGCAAAGTTTTGGGAAAAGCTTCGGTATATCATGCCACACCCACAAGAACTTACACAGAAGAAAAAGCAACATTGCAAAAATGCAGATAAGCTTGAACTTGTTAAATCAAACTCGAAAAATGTATAACGCCAGTTTAAGCAAAACGTGTGTGTTTGCACGAGTAGCTGGACTAAGGTCTTCAACAGTGATGACTCAGAGGTGTTCTAGATATGAAAAAGAGATTTATATATTGACAGATGAATATATATATATTTATTTAGAAAATTATATGGACTATCCCAACAATTCCTCAGATAGTGGGAATGCAGATACAAATGTTGTATGCAGCTAAATTTGTTACAACATTGACTGTACTACTGGTTGTACTTTTGCCGCTTGGCTGTGATGTTTTATAACCAGGTACTTATGTATATAGCAGGTTTATGAATATGTATATCATTCACCTTTCATTTTCATCTACAACTGAAATGCCATTCATTAAACATTTTTCATGAGTATTATGGTCTTGTATCGTTTAAGTTATTTTTATGGTAAACAATTGGAATCTCGTACAAGAGAATGGAAAAAAAAATTGTTTTGTCTAAAAGGTTAATCTCATATTTTGCACTTGAATTTTTACAGCGCTTTCATTATTCAATAACATACAGTGCAGTCCAATTTTGTGCTTTTTTCAGCTTTTTGATACTGGGACTTGCATAGGTAGTGCTGAGTAAATAACTGCTTCAAACTAATTTTCTGATTATGACTCTTTTTAAAAGAGTGAAAGAGCTGGTCTGCAAGAGCTGTGGTCAGTAGATTAGAAAAGTCTGAAATGGTTTAAGGTCTTAAGTTACTGTATGGTATACAGAACGAGCAACTCTTAAAAAGCTTGACCATGCAAATTTCTTGATAGCATAAGCAAGGGAGCAACATAATGCCCGATAGATAGAAGTGAAAAATGTTAGAGAGCAAGCCCATTCATAAAGGCTTTCATCAAGGCTTCCAGTATTATCCAAGCAAGGGACCAGTGTATGACTTTTCTGTAATATGGGCAGGACCATTATATCTGAATAAATAATGAAAAATTTGCTAATATTTTATTACCTACATGAATAATTTTGTCATTGTATAGTTGTATTGTCCAATGGGAGGTTTGTTAACCAGAATCTGATGGTTAAAGGTTAATGGTTAAAAGCAAAATAAATGTGCTAGACATCTAAGGTCATGTAGCACTATAGTAAATGTTAGTAAAGGGTGGTTAAGTTAGTGATTAGTTAACAAAGCTGGGCAAAGGAATTGGTGAGTGAATGGGTTAAGGTCGGGTAAGGTAACGTAAAGGGGTTAGATCAAGTGAAGGATATATATGCGCTTGAGGAAAGAAAACAGGTTCTCAAAGCAGAAAGTGAGACACTGTAAGGATGCCTGATTGATAGGTTGGGAGGTCAGTGAAGGGAGGATAGGTTGGGGAAAGCAGAGGTACAGGCTGCTTCAAAACATGGGCATGAAAATAGAATGTGTGGAAGTGAAAGAGGGACATTACATAGGGAACATAGGGGTGGATCGGAGAGTGACATCAGATAGGAGTGTGTTAGACGGGTGTGGGCAATGCGTAAGCGGGTGAGAGCCGTCTCCCAACGTCTGTTCCGATGAAATGGAGCTGACTAGGAGATTGATAGTTTTACAGTATGTAATTTATTAGTGTGGAGACTTGACCAGAAAGATTGCCATCGATTATACAAGAAGGTCTTAAAATGTAGGTAATAATCCGTGGATGGAATAAGTGAGAAACGTGGTTGGTGTGATGTGGATATAGCGGCATAACATCCTAGAGTATCTGCCTGTTCATTGATGGAGATTCCAACATGGCTGGGCTCCCAGCAAAATTTGATAGGGATTATGTGTGTTTTAAGGCAAAAAGGAGTACATACAGTTCTGTAGTAAGGACACTGGATTCAGGAGGAAGGGAGTATTTGAAAGTACAAGTTGGGAAGGTTACCGCAAAACCAGCACCGGTGGTGGATTTGGAGCCATCAGTGTAAACACGAATACTGGAGGAATGAATGGAGACATGTCAAGGAAATGGGTGAGAAGGACAGCAGGAGTAATATTTGATTTTGGTGGATCAGCAGGGAAAACTGAGAAGCAAATATGGGGGTAAGGTATAAGCCATGGAGGGACAGAATGGACAGAGATCGGAGATGGGAAAAAGAGGAATGGGAGAGGAGGGTATCCATGCGTGGAGAAAGGAGTAGGTAAACATGGAGAAGCAGCAAAGGTAGGAAGTTGAGATCGTGGGATAGTTAGTTTAGTGAGGGGAAGTTGGTGGAATCGAGCATAACATCGGAGAGAGAGAAGGGTACAGCATCAAGAGAGATGGTATGCCTGTTTCAGTGCGCAGGCTCTCAACTGGAGAGGAGTGGAAGGCACCTTGGGCTAAGCGAAGACCAGAGTGATGGACTGTATCAAGATGGGCAAGGAGAGAAGTTGAAGCAGAGGATTAGATTTGGCATCCATAATCGAGAGTGGAGAGGATCAAGGTAACATGAAGATGGAGGGTTTTGTGATCTGAGTCCCAGGATATATGGGATAGAGTTTGTAAGAGTCGGAGACGGCGGCGAGCTTTTTCTTTAATGTAGAGAATATGGTCTCGCCAGGATAGTTTTGAGTAGAAAATAACGCCAAGGCATTTGCCAGAGGAACGGTATTGGAGTGGAGTGCCATATAAGAAGAGTGGAGGTAGGGAACCTACACGTGTGCGAGAGAAAATGGAGAAAGATTTGGAGGTAGAAAAGCAGAAGCCATGGTTTGTGGCCCAGGAAGATACTTTTGATATTGTAGACTGAAGAAATTGGCAGAGATGTGGCATGGATGTGCCAGAGGCATAGATGGTTAAATCATCAACTTATAGTGAGGACCGGGCTCCTGGTGGTAGAACTGTCATTAACAGCAAGAAGGAATAAGGTGGTACTGAGCACACTGCCTTGTGGGACGCCTTTGATTTGAGGAAAGAAGGATAATGTGGCTGAGGCAATTTTGACCTGGAAAGTGCTTTGGGAGAGGAAAGACTTTATAAAGACACCCATGTTTCCACGTATGTCTAGAGAAGACAATTGTTGGAGAATATGGTACAGAATTGTAGTATCTATGCTTTTCTTTTTAGGTCAAAGAATATAGCTAGTACGGATTCATGGCGTGCAAATCCTGATGTAATAGATGTCTCAAAATGAGCAAGGGGGTCAGCTGTGCTTCGGGCACGGCGGAAACCGAATTGGGAAAGAGAAGATTGTGAGATTCAAGATACCACATTAAGCTCTAGTAGTTTGCACAAGCAGCTAGATAGTATGATGGGGCGACAGTCTTGAGGGAGGGTACCCGATTTATTGGGTTTCAGGAAGGGGAGGATAAGAGCTTCTCGCCATATGTGGTTGTAAATTGTTAATAGGAAGGATAAGGAGGAAGATGGGAGTTGCCGGAGCATACGGTAGTGAATACCGCCAGGGCCTTCATGAGTGTTGCGGCACGATTGTAGGGCAGCACTGAGTTCAGAGGAAGAAAAAGGAGCATTTTAGGACTCCGCAGAGGATAGGGTGAAGATAATGGGAGTATGTTCCCTGATGGTCTTACTAGATGAGAAGTGTGGAGAAAGGTGAGAGCCACTACTGACCTGGCTGAAATAATCACCCAGTTCATTAGCGACTTGGAGAGGATCAGAGATGAGGGTATCTCGAATATGGAGGACAGGGGCTGGATGGGGGAGATGTTTGCCTGATAGTTTATGGATCCGGCGGCGCTAAACATTTGAGATAGATGTAGAGGATATAATTGAGGAAACCATTTTGCCAACTATTTGTTTTACTATTCCAGATTGTACGACGAAGACAGGCAGACCGGAGATAAGGGCTGATAGTTGATTTGGGGTATCTCGTTTGTAGCGGTAACTGTTCCAGGCTGCACGTTTTAAGTGAAGTACTTTAGTGCAATCAGAATTCCACCATGGAACACATTTGGGGGTATAGGGTCTTGAGGTTCAAGGAATAGCTGTATGAGCAGCTCTTAGGACTGTAGTTGAGAACCACTATCATTTCTGGAATGGATGAGAGGAATATGAATAGCAGAGAGTTTAGTAAAAGTACACCAGTCGGCTCTATCAAAGCACCAGCGTGGGGATTTAGGAAGTGGTACATATGAAATAGGAGAAAGGAAAACTAGAAAGTGGTCACTATAGGGAAAGTGGTCTAGAACTGACCAATGGAAACCTAAATGAAGAGGAGCATAAAGAGGTCAATACATGAAAAAGATCCCACTGTGATCCAGCGACGAAGAAAGATGCGAATAACTGTGCAAGGGACATTGGTTTGAAAGGGAGGTATGACATAAGGTGTTTTCTGATTGATAAGTATGGACGAGACAAAGGAAGTGTGGGGAAGAGAAAGTGTTAATTGGGGACTGGTATAGGAGGAAGTGTAAGAAAAGTCTCTTGAAGGCATATAATGAATGGGTTATAAAAGGAAAGGATATGACGAAGGTCGGGTCTGTGAGAAACCACGAACATTCTAATGAAGGATATTTATACTTTCGTTGATTTAGGAGTGATAACGGTTGTAGTACGTGCTGGAGAATTTGAAGGGGTAGGAGTTAGAGGGTGGGATAAAGAATGGGAGGGAGGAGGTGGTGTTGTATCAGGAGGGGTATTAGGAGGTGGAGGGTCTGGGGAAGGGGATAGTTGTGATACAAGGGATTCACGTGTGTATCCAGGAAAGAGTGGAAGGGATAGAGGGGATGGCAGAAGGGTTAATGTAGGTGGGGCTGTGTTGGGAGAGGGTAGGATGATAGGGTGTAGGGGGGATACGAGTGGGAGGATGGATAGATATGGGCAGTCACTCAATGTGGAGGGAGCGGGAGTTGTGGAATTTGAAGGTGGATGACGGGTTTTAGTGTCAGTTTGGGACTCGAGTAGACAGGTCTAAATATCTTCTAAAGTTTCTGTAATGGAGTTGGTTGGGGAGTTTGTTGAGAAAGGTTTTCTTGTGAGGGGGGGGGGGGGAGAGAAGACTGGTGTCTGAAGAGTAGGGGCAAAGGAAGGTGGAGGTGATTGTATGGTAGGGGAATAGGAGGTGGAACGTTTAGTCTGCCTGTTGCTGGTAGTGCGGGGAGGGAGAGGGGAAGGTGTTGGGGCTGTAGTAGAGATTAGAGTGTCTGGATTTAGGATAGCAAAAGAATTTGACTGGGGAAGGTAGGAGGTAGACGAGGGGAAGTTAGATGGAGGAGGGATAGGTTTAGGGGAGGGTGTAGGAGCTTGGGAGGTAGGGGGAGTGGCAGAGTGAGTGACATTACTGTAGTAGGGAGTAAGAAAAACCTCGAGTCCAAGTCTGAATCAGAGTTGCTACCTCAGACTCAAATTTGTAGATGGGGCAGTCCTTATAAAATACATTATGGGGGCCGCTACAGTTGGCACGTGTACATGATTGTGCAGAGCAGTTTGATCGAGTATTGCCAGGTTGGGCACATAGCAGGAATCGGGCTGTGGAACAAGGTTTGGCAAGATGTCCTAAACGCCAAAGATTTTGGCCCTGACAAGGAGGTTCATATGGTCAGACAGCGAGGGATTCTCCACCGATGTAAACATTAAAAGGAAGGTCATGTCTACGGAAAGTAATTTTGGCAATGTTAGTGGGGTTCTTACGATGACCTCTGGGAGGAATGGAGAAGCATTGTACTGATATCGCATCAGTCCGAGTAAGTCTTCTCCACAATCCAAAAAGCTTTTTTTCCCCCATAAGGTGACGTATTTCCAGAATGGTTAATGGTCAAAAATACATGTGCCAGGCATCAAAGATTACATATGACATATCAAAGTATTGTGGCGAAAAAGGAAAAATGAGTTGATTAGGATAAGTAGAGAGAAGGGGATGAAGAAAGGGAAAAGGAGAGAAGAAAAGACCATGCAAAATTAGTAGAGACGAGAGCTGTGAACCAAAGTAGGGGTAATTCCCTACATTGAGCCAGTCCCCATCTCCTAACCCTCCCCCCCACACGACAAAGAAAAGCAAGGGACGGGGTTGGACGGCTTATCAAGTAGCTTGCTAA